GCTAATTTTTGATTTATCGTAGAGATGAGGTCTCGCCAAGTTGCCCAGGCGGGTCTCGAAGCCGTGGGCTCAAGCAATCCACTCACCTCAGCCTCCCAAAGCGTGGGATTACAGGCTGAGCCGCCCAGCCCTGCTAGATCACTTCTCTTTACCGGTTTTAAGTACATATTAGAGTGAGGGCCAGGCATAGTGGGTCAGACCTATAATCCCATCACGTTGAGAGCTGCTTGAACCCAGGAGTTGAGACCAGCCTGGGCAACATAGTGAGACCTCATCTCTATTAAAACAAACAAACAAAAAAAATTAGCCAGGCATGGTGGTATGCATTTATAGTCCCAGCTACTTGGGAGGCTGAGGCAGAAGGATTGCCTGAGCCCAGGAAGTTGAGGCTATGGTGAGCCGTGATTGTGCCACTGCACTCCAGCTTGGGCAACAGAGTGAGACTTGACTCAAAAAAAAAAATGGGATGAGAAGGCCTGCCTCATGGGTGTTACGAGTGAAATGAGTTATGTGTAAGGACCCAGAAGTGCCTGGCACACAGTAGACGCTCAAAAAAGCCTCCAATCCTAATTACCTGTAGGGAAACAAACTACTACTAAGTATTATAGTGCTAGTAGCTTTACATAACATTTACCCATTTAATTCTCCCAACAGCCCTGTGAGGGTAGGCATTAACACACAGCTAGTCAGCAGAAGTGCCACTTGCCTGTAGAGCCTGGCCACTGTGTTTTACTGCCCCTCTTTATTACTTATTTACTTATTTTTAGGACTGAGTCTCACTGTCACCTCAGGCTGGAGTGAGTGCAGTGGTGCAATCACAGCTCACTGCAGTCTTGAACTCCTGGGCTCAAGCGATCCTCGCATATCAGCCTCCTGAGTAGCTGGGACTACAGGCACACCACACCATCACGCCTGACTTGTTTTTTCTTTACAGAAATGGGAACTCACTATGTTGTCCCGGCTGGTCTCAAACTCCGGGGCTCAAGTGATCCTCCCGCCCCCGCCTCCCAAAGTGCTGAGATTACAGGTGTGAGGCACTATGCCTGTCTCTGCGCCTCATATTTAGACAATAATGTTTAAAGTTCTGGCCAGGCATGGCAGCTCACACCTATAATACCAGCACTTTGGGAGATGAAGACAAGAGGATTGCCTGAGTCCAGGGGTTCCAGACCAGATTGAACAACATGGCAAGACCTCGTCTCTACAATAAATCAAAAAATTACAGCAACCTGGTGCACGCCTTTAGTTCCAGCTACCTGGAAGGCAAAGGTGGAAGGATCACCTAAGCCCAGCAGGTTGAGACTGTGGTGACCATAACGTGCCACTGTATTCCAGCCTGGGCAACAGAGTGAGACTTCGAATCAAAATAAATAAATAAAGTTCCATGGGAGACGTGATGAGGGCCACAGGAGTAGGGGCTGAGTTTTGGCAGAAGTATAAGTCGCCTCAGCTGAGCGTACCCCTAAGAAAGCCTCCCTCAGCAAGTCATTTCAATGTCTACTTTGTCCCTATCAGTCCTCAATTTTCCAGATGGCACATGGAACATATACCTTACATTTGGAGTTTGACATCTGTGCCAGGCGGTGAGATGTACCCTGAGAACCCATCAGATTTTCCCGCCAGCAGACACCAATCTACACCTGTCACATCCAGCACTCAGTGCACAACCTTGTGCTTGGGGAGGGAGAGGACGGGGTCTCTCTAGACCAGGAATTGGCAACTGCAGTTCTCAAGCCAGATCCCGCCAGCTGCCTACAAGCTAATCATGAGTTTTATATTTTTATATGGTTACATTGTAAATGGTTATGTAAGTGTCTTATAACATCATTATCTCTCTTGGCCTGCAGTGCCTGCAATATACAATCTGGCCCTTCAAAATACCACCCATCCTCTGCCACCCTTGCCCCAGGGCAGCAGGGATCACACCATCCTTCTGTGAGGACTCTTGTCCCTGGTCTGTGATAACATACTCAGCTCCCTCACCCTATGTGATAAGCAGCCAGCAACTTCCTTCTGCCCCCACTCCAGACGGGATGTGGCTCATTTTGGGGTACGAGTCTCCATCGTGGAGCCTGGCTTCTTCCGAACCCCTGTGACCAACCTGGAGAGTTTGGAGAACGGCCTGCAGGCTTGCTGGGCGCGGCTACCTCCAGCCACACAGGCTCAGTACGGGGAGGCCTTCCTCACCAAGTGTAAGTAGTGGGGCCCACACAGGGGTGCATGAAGGGAAATGAGGGCCAGGAAGCCCAGCCCAAGTCAGCCGTCGGGAGGGGGTGAGAGCGAATGGGGTGCCACGGGAGAGTGCTCAGGCCACAGGGAACCTGCCAGCTCTCCACACTGGGGAGGGTTCTGAGAATGTCCTTCCCACCGCTGGCCAAGAAGCCCTAGAACCCCGAAGACAGAGCCTAGGATGGGCTGGAGCGGGGCAGGGAAACTGACCCCAACCACCCACGGGGCTGCAGACCTGAAAGTGCAGCAGCGCATCATGAACCTGATCTGTGACCCGGACCTCACCAAGGTGAGCAAGTGTGTGGAGCACGGCCTGACTGCCCGTCACCCCCGGACCCGCTACAGCCCAGGCTGGGATGCCAAGCTGCTCTGGCTGCCAGCTTCCTACCTGCCAGCCTGCCTGGTGGATGCTGTTCTCACCTGGGTCCTTCCCAAGCCCACTCAGGCAGTGTGTTGAATCCAACCTTCCAGCAAGAGGTGGTTTTTCAAGGGCAAGGACTTTGATTTCTGTCTCCGCCCTGGTACTGCCTGGTGCTGGGTGCAAAATAAACACTCGATAAAAGTGTATTTTTTTTTAAGTAGGTGGGCAGAAGTGAAGTTGCCCCAGGGGAAGGCGGACCCCATTTAAGCGCTAACGACTCTAAACTCCGGGTCTCCCGTCTGTTTAGTGCCTGCAAGACAGCCGGCAACCACTGGGGGGCGCAAGGGAACCACCTCACATCTGTAGGTGACCACTGAAGCTGCACCTCCAGGAGCGGCCACCAGAGGGCACTTTAGTACATTTCCCTGATTTCCTGCCCGGAGTAAGGTGGTAATTCTTTGTCTCCTGGGAGTAGCCTGTAATTTTCCTTGAGGGAGGAGGGAAGGTGATGATGAGGGGGCAGGGCCAGGCTGGGTACCTTCCATGGAAGGAAAGGCAACATCCACCTAAATTCTACTAAGTTAAGAAGGAGGGACACTGACCCCACAGGTGTCACAGCAACTAACTCATCACCACCCTGAAAGCAGCCAGAACCCCTTGAGGACTGTCCAGGGAGGGAGCTGCTGGACCCTCAGGTGTGCAGAAGACCAGGGAGATGTCCAAGGTAGACGCATGGGCTCCGTGGAGCAGAGCTTTATGGGGAGTTGCTTTGACGTCTGCAGCGGCTGGCGTCACAAGTGTTCCGCGTGGGCCTGGCAGCACGAGACCAGGGACAGGAGGCACCTCGGCTTCCTCTCCACATCCCTACTGCCCCCACTGCCAGCCCAGCCGCACCTTCAGCAAGAGCCTCCTTCCCAAACGTCCCCCCAAGGAAGCCTGCCTTTCACACAGAGCAAGATTCCAGAGGACAGGGACTGTGGATAAGGGGAGGGGCCGCGTGTTGCTCTTTAAGACAGACTTAAGGCCATCTCTCTTTTGGGTCTGAAAAAATAATCCATTTAATTGAAAAATTTGGAGGATACGACTCCACTCCCTCAGATGAGGGGCTTGAAGACAACAGACCCTACATCACCTCATAGCCACTTCTGATGCTCTTCACGAGGCAGCAGGCAAAGATAATCCCCAAGACCTAGAGGAAAGACATCAGGGCCAAGAGGAATCAGAAGGGCAGGAGACCCCAAACATGCCCCCCCCCCC